CCTTATCTGTGAAATGTGGTGATGAGTGTATTTGTGTATCAACACACACACACACACACACACACACACACACACACACACTTTCCTTTAAAACAATACTTTGCAAGGGTCTAAACCCCAACCTGGTACCTACACATATTGTGGTTTTGTCTTTTGAGGGGGCATTCTTATTTTTATTTCATGTTAAGTTGCAGAGCTGCTATTAGGATTCTGCAGAGGCATTGGAATCTAAGACTGTGACAATCTGGGCTTTATCTCTGAGAAATGACTGAAAAAAAAAGGTGTCCTTGTGATTTGCCCAACTCCGTCATTGATCATTCTCCATTCATGTTCTACCCCCACTGCCTTCTCCTCATCTCCCTTTGCCTCAAAGAAAACTAACAGAGCCATATAGAAAGCTCTGAGATATAAATGACCTTGTGCACCTTTAATTGAGGACAGAATTTGCTGAAGTGCATCCCAAAATCCACCAGTGGTTTACTTTACAGTCTGTGTCCTGGCTAGACTGGCTGTTGGCTGTATAATTTGTCTAGTTTTGTCTGGAGTCTTAGACTATTCAGCTGCTTCAGGGCAAAATCTTTTGGGGTGTCATTAAATGAGATTGATAATTGGCTTCTGATGAATATTCATTGTGACTAATGACTTTGGGCAAATTTTACACATACTATCTTTCCATTCTCCCACTGAGTGAGATTTTGATAGAATCATTTTCTTCAACTTGCACTTCAATTATATATTCACAATACCCCTTTGTTGACTACACACCAAATTACATACTTTCATTACTTTTAAAGTTTGTATTCTGTAAGGAATGAACACAGGCCTTTAGGACTTTTATTTTTAGAAACAGGGTTTAGAATTATTTTAAAAATAAGCGGCAAGCGATACTTTACAGAACAGAGTGCATTATTTCTGATTGAGTATAGATATATAGTAAGACTTTTCTTATAATCAAGTGACTGTCCTTAAGTAATGATGCATATAGTTTGTGTCATTTAGTATTTTGGAAAAGAGCCATATAATTCCCTGTTTTGTTTGTTTCTTAATCAAATGAGTAATGCATTTTACCCCAATTGCAGAGATTTGGCCCTTAGAAAACCCACTAATGAAATGATCAAGCACCTTAAAAGTTTGATTTTTTTTTTTTTAAAGAAGGATAAATAATTTTAAAGTCTTGGCATTGAGGTTGGTAGGTTTGCTTTTGAGGTTAAAAAGACATGAAAAGAACATTATCTGAAGATGAGATCTCTGCTACTTTATCAGTTGAAATAGGCTTTTGACCCAAACCAGTTTAACCTAAGAGTCACATAATCAAGTTCTGGCTTAACCAGGTTCATTCTATTAAATGACTTTTTCAAAGAGAATCACAAGTTAATTCATGTGATGATGTTACCTTCATTTGTATGGGACCTTATAGATTTTGAGGTGCTTTTATTTATTTATTTATATGTTGTGGAGTTAGAAAGGAGGCACACGATTGAATGGGCGAATGGATGAATGAATGACTTGGTTTTCCAAAAGTGCCATGCTTGTGTTTCTAAGCTTGCTGTTTTTGTTTTAGACATTTTTTTCTGTCTCTCTTTTTTGGGGGACAGAGTCTCGCTCTGTTGCCCAGGCTGGAGTGTAGTGGTGCGATCTCAACTCACTGGCAACCTCCACCTCCTGGGTTCAAGCAATTCTCCTGCCTCAGCCTCCCGAGTAGCTGGGACTATAGGCATGTGCCACCATGCCTGGCTATTTTTCTGTATTTTTAGTAGAGACGGGGTTTCGCCATGTTGACCAGGCTGGTCTTGAACTCCTGACCTCAAGTGATCTGCCCACCTCAGCCTCCCAAAGAGCTGGCATCACAGGCGTGAGCCACCGCGCCCAGCCTGTTTTAGACTTTGAGTCATGTACCTTATTCTGTGAGACTCACGGGAATGTTGGTATGCTACTGATAAAAGCCAAGCTACTAAACTGTCTTTGTATTGTGAGTATATTCTAAGAAAAAATAATTTCTTTATTCAGGACACATTCCATTAACTAGTGCATGTGTGTGTGTTGTGTATTCTGGGCCACTGAGAACATGGAGGTGAAGACAGGATCTTCCTGTACTTTACAGTCAGGAGACAAACATGCAGCCAGTTATGGTCCAGTTAATAATGGGTGCCTGTGGGTTGGATGCAGTGGCTCATGCCTGTAATCCCAAGATTTTGGGAGGCCAAGGTGGGTGGGTGACTTGAGGTCAGGAGTTTGAGACCAGCCTGGCCAACATGACGAAAACCTGTCTCTACAAAATATTCAAAAATTAGCCAGGCGTGGTGGCACACACCTGTAGTCACAGCTACTCAAAAGGCTGAGACAGGAGAATTGCTTGAACCAGGAGGCGGAGGCTGTAGTGAGCTGAAATCGCGCCACTGCACTCCAGCCTGGGTGACAGAGTGAGACCCTGTCTCAATAATAATAATAATAATAATAATAATAATAATCGGTGCCTATTCACAAGGAGCCAGGGAAGACTTTGAAGAGGAAGTACTTACACAGAGACCTGAGGGAGGAGTTTGCTAGAGGCACAAATCCAGGCCAGTTTGGGGGATGGGTGGAAAGGGAGGGGAGGAAAAGGAGTACATGACTCTATCTAAGTGATGTATTCCAAGGACAGACTTGAAGAAGACGGTACAGAGTGTGGCTACAGATGGCTGCTGTAAAGCTAGACTGTGGGCTGGTGGAGCCATCCGGGGCTAGGCATGTCCCCAAAGACTTCCGAGTAGGAAGTGATGGGCCGGAACCTGCACTTGAGGAGGAGCGCTCTGGCAGCTAGTTAAAGATGTGCAGAAAGAGCTGAGACCCGAGGCCAGTGGAACCCTCCAGGCTGACTTCAGGGTGGAATCAGGTCAGAGTTGGTTCATTCTCCACTCACTCAACACCAGCAAGGAGTTTTCATCTCTAAGAAGCCCTGAAGGGATTAGTTGTGTGTATGTGTGTGTGTGTGTGTGTGTGTATATATATATGTAAAATACAGAATATACTTATATATGAAATATATAAATATATATAATATATATATAAAACTAATGATATATATAAAATTAATGTTTTGATATTATATATATATGTGTGTATATATATCAGCCTCCTTTATATGGGTACCTATGGAAATAGAATGTGAAGGGATGGGTTAAACCTGCCAGCCTTGACGGGGTCACTGGGAACAGTTCTTGGGTGCCTGCTGAATGAGATCCGGTTCATGGCATGGACCTGGCTTCAAGAATGGGGTCTGGAGGAAAGAGTCAGGGCAGGCGGGGTTGGGAGTGGCAGCCCTGGCTTTAACACACAGTTCTCACAACTGGGAAACATCAGCAGAATACCCAATTTAAAGCTGTTCATGTTACACTAACCTCTGGGATGCTTTTAACTGGGCCTTGGCACGTCACTCTTTTGCCACGTAAATGTCCTTCTGTCAGCAAAGGCCAGTTAACAGCTTCCAAAAGAAGCAAAGTCCTCATGGGAACAGGCTTCCCTGAAACCAAAGAAACATTAAAGAAAAAAAGACAGAAAGAAACATGTGTTGTTGGCTTTGTCACTTCATAGCTATGTCTCCAAAGGTTGCTTTTTTCCCCTTTCTTTTCACTATATTGAATTTTGTAGCAATTGTATCCCTTTATATTATCTTTGTTTCCTGAATTTTTAATTGCATAAAATACTGATTATATGATGTCTCTAGCTCTTAAGAAAAAAAAAAATACAAAATACGGGTAAGTCAAAAGACTGTGGAGAGGAAGGATTAGTCAGTAAACAGTGCCATAGCAATTGATTACCTATGTGGAAAAAAAAATTCTCACCTCAGTCCTTAAACCTAAAGTAATTCCAGATGGACTGAAGAGTTAAATGCTAAGGGAAAATTTAGAGGACTTTCTTGGGATAAAAGCGGTAGAAACCATCATGGAAGAAAGTATTTGTCTATGTAATTATTTAGACCTTCTCTTTGCCCAGAAATTCAAAGAAAATTAAGTATAAATTATTTTCAAAACATTACAAAAGCTGGATATTCTTTGCATATCATCAGTGATTGCTTATAAACCAGTAAAAATTACTAACACTCATTTTTAAAGTGGGCTAAGAATATGAATAGACCATTTGTCTATTACATAAGTACAGCCAAGAAACATATGACAAAATGTTCAACCTTAGTCCTGATCAGAATAAAAATAAGAGTAAAATAGATACAATTTTAAAGCTACTAACTTGACTACAAGGAGTAGTGCTGGTGAGGGGAAGGGAGGCCAGAATTGTGGTGGATGGCTGGGGCTGGGGGGTATAAAGAGTCTCCATCCTTCTTCTATTCATTATACTAACATATTTATGATATATGTATTTATTAAGTGCCTTGAAATATTTATAACCTTTGTCTCTGAATTCTGCATTTAGGAACTATAGATATAAATTATTGACCTGTATGATTATATTACTTAATGGTAGTAGAGTAGTTAAATATATTAATAGCATGGGAAATTCAAGTATCGTTAAAAGGTATTTTTTCTAAGAATATTTAAAGAATATTCTGGATTTGTGCCTTTAAAGCATCATTAAGAGATACCTTTTTCTAAGAATATTTAAAGGAAAATGGCATCAAATAATGTTCGCTTTTAAGAAACACAAAAGAATACTGTATTTATAGTCATCCTAATTGTATTTAAAAAGGGAATATATGTGCTTGTGTGTGTAAGAACCTACAATGTTAAATCTTCCAATGGTGGTGGCATTTATTTTAATCCCTTTCTCCATTTAAAAAATTTTCTATTTCTTATATTAGCTTTATAATCAGAAAAAAAGATTTTTTGAAAAGAAAGCTCTTACTAAATTTGAATTAGGGTGATTGAATTAACTTAGAATGATTTCTCCAGGCTTTTCAACTTATCATGTAAACATGTTGAAGAATTATAGAATTGTATTGCTGAAATCAAATGGCGGTGTCTCCTCCCTTGGATTTGTTCATTGATCTCTGCTTTGCTCTGTTCCAGCTGACTGCCTGCATCCACGGGTCTGCGGCGATGCTCTACCCCATGTACTGGCAGCACGTGTACATCCCCGTGCTGCCGCCACATCTGCTGGACTACTGCTGGTAAGGTGGCTGGCCCTGTCCTCTGCTTCTCCTTTGCCCTGAACTGACTGGGCATGTTAGGTGTGTCACCTGTTAATGCAGTTGGTGACTCTACATTAAAAATACTAACTTTATCCAGCCTGGACAAAGTAGTGAGAATCCATCTGTACCAAAAAAAAAAAAAAAAAAAAAAAAAGTCAGGCATTGTGGCACATACCTGTAGTCCCAGCTACTCAGGAGGCTGAGTTGGGAGGATCATTTGAGCCAGAGAGGTCGAGGCTATAGTGAGCTCTAATTGTGCCACTGCACTCCATCCTGGGCAACAGAGTGCGACTCTGTCTCAATAATAATAATAATAATAATAAAAATACTAACTTCAAAGTGGCATGGATTTAAGACCACCTGATTGCATGGCCCTTTCATTTCCAGTTTTCTTATATGTCATGACAGAGTACAAGAGAGTGGGTAGTCATTTTTCCCATTTCTCAGTTTGGGAGAAACAATGCACCAAGAGGTTGCGTGTTTGTTTGTTTGTTTGTTTTTTCCTAAAACAAATTGTAAACTGGGGACAGAAACAATTGAGATCTCCAAGGCCTTCAAGTTTCAGCCATGCCCTGGCACATTCCTTAAGACTTGTGCTCACTGTGGTTTGGGAGCACAAGCCAGACGGCACTAAACCGTCTGAAGTTCTTTGAGGAGAATTTCACCGTTCAGTGAAACAGACTTTAGTAGAAGGAAGAAACAAAGGTTTTGGTGACAGCCCTGCCATCTTGGGCAAGTCACTTGGCTTTAAGACTTTCTTTACTCATCTGTAAAAGGAAGTTGTTCAATACATAATCATAAAGATGAAACGAGATAACATATGAAAGGACCCCATGTAGAAAAGCTGGCTCATGGTGGGTGCTCAGAAAATGTTCCCACAGACATATCATTGTCTTCACTATCTGTCTTCAATAGATTACCAAAACAGACTGTCTTTGTGACCGATTTGGTTCCCTTTTCCTCATGAATAATTTCTTTCTCTAGTGTAATGCAGTTAAAGACATTGTCTCCAAACAGTTCAAGTCAACAGAAGTCCATAAGGGGGCATGGTACACAGAGAGGGAAAGGCACTAACTGCATGCCAAATATTGAGAGCTTCAGGAGAAGGGAACCCATTTGAGAGTCATAGCCCTGTTGCTTAAGGACAGGTGACATAGGACACTGACCACTGGTTCAGAGTGATTGAGTCCAGGTCAGTCATACTTTTGCTGGGATCTCCAGCCCATTTTGCCGTCATCTCACTGGAAAGGTTCACTCAGGTAGCCAGATTGTCCAAGGAGCTTAAAGGCATTCCACAGTCACTCCTGATTGGAACGTGCTGGGCTCACCCTCTTCCCAAGAAGCCATGGAGATAACAAGGACATAACTCAGGGCCATGATGTGAAAATCAGTGGCCCTCTCTCGTGCATAGTAGTCAGTGAATGGGCCTGATTCTTTCTTTATGATACGTCTGTCTTATCAAGGTAGTCATCTTATTCATGCCTTTCTCCCACCTCTTGTGAGATTAAGGGGCGATGTGTTTTCTACCATGTGGAATATGGAATCCTGGCTAATTTTGAATTTCTTCTTGATTCATCGGTGGTTGAACCCCACATTTTTTCACTATGTCTCTTCATACTTTGGTTTATTTTGGAAACTATTTTCAGTTAATGATGACGTCCAGGTACTGCTGGTCTAGATTTTTGTGTTCATCCCTTCTTGAGTGGGTAGGAAATAAAGTAATGTTTGCAGATAGGAAAGAATAAGGATGTAAACCCCTTATAACAGATTCACCATGTGACATTAAATGTTCGCGTTTGCTGTGTTCCTCAGAGAGTGTTTTCAAACCCTGGAGCCCATCCCAGATCCCTCCCCTGTATCCAGGTCTCCAGCCTCTCTCCTTCCATTGGAGACTCTAGGGAATGCTGGACTCTGCCCTAGTGAGACTGCTCCTTCTGCTCCCGGACTCCAGAGGGAAGATTGTTAGACGCCGCCATGGTCTGGTGTGAGCTCCGCCCTGTCATCTGGCTGCTAGCACAGCCCCTAGGAACCTTCCTCCCTGCCGTGTCACTGTCATCTGCTTGTCTCTGGGATCTTCATCATCTGTTGGTTGAGATGTCCACATCCCCTTCCCATCTTATTCTCTGCTGTCTTCAGTGGCTTCAGAATCCACACTACTGGCCTCCTCTTATTCCCACTGAGATCGCATTTGCACTGTTTTGTCATTGATAGTGAGATTACTCCCTCAGAGATGCCATGGAGTAGCACAAACAAGAATAGGACGGGGCTAAGAGGAGGACACCTGAGTTCCTGTCTCCGCTCCATTACTGCCTGGCTGTGTAGCTTAGAGCAAGCGCCTTTGCTTCTCTGAATCTCTTCTCTGTTGAGGGCTGAAAATACTGCAACTTGTTCTTTAAACTGTTTCTAGGATGAAATAAAATAATGTATGTGCTAATGCACTTTATAGACTGAAAAGCGACGTCAGCCACCCAGCAGGGTGACACCTGTGTCATTAACCGTCTGAAGCTCACTCAGCCCCCTCTGTTTTCCTGCTGGCCTCCTTGCTTTGGGGCTTCGTGAGCTTTTTCTTTCTTTCTTTTTTTTCTTTTTTTGAGACAGAGTGTCGCTCTGTCACCCACGTTGGAGTGCAGTGGCGCAATCTTGGCTCACTGCAACCTCCACCTCCCAGGTGCAAGCGATTCTCCTGCCTCAGCCTCCCGAGTACCTGGGATTACAGGCGTGTGTGACCACTCCCAGCTAATTTTTTATAATTTTAGTAGAGACAGGATTTCCCTGTGTTAGCCACCATGGTCTTGATCTCCTGACCTTGTGATTCACCCGTCTCAGCCTCCCAAAGTGCTGCGATTACAGGCATGAGCCACTGTGCCTGGGGTCATGAGCTTTTTCGGTAGAGCAGATGTTTCCCGATGCTGGCCATGTCTCAGGCACTGCACTAAGTGCTGGAAGACAGGAATGAGAGTCAGTTTCCAGCAGAAGGGACTCAAACAATTGGGTGTCGAAGACACAGGCACATAGGCCAGAACTGCTCCTGGGTTTTTCACCAGTTCCTTGCAGGCTCTTGCTTCCCTGGCCTTGCCACTGACCCTAGGCACCCCTACTATTTTCTTATCTATTCCTTGTCTGGAAGGTACTGCTGGTGCAAGTCTGAGAGCCTTTGCAGAGAGGACCTGCTAGAGAGTGGTGCTGCCTAACCTCAGCTTGCCCTCCTCCTCTGCAGTCACCCCTGAGCCCTCACTCTCCCCACCATGCAGCAGGCTCAGGGATGGGACTGCATTGTTACGTCTGGTGAGAAGAGGGGGACATAGGGTCTGTGCTCCCACAGCTGCCCTCCTTCTCATCCAAGGCTGGTTACTTGCTGCCTGCTTGCTTCTTCTCTCCTACCATTCCTGAGGGAGGAAGAGCAGTCTGTCCAAAGCCATTGACTTCACCTGGGCCTGGGTGCTGTCTCCTGAGGATTCTCTGGGACCCATCTAGATCTCTGTTCTCTTGGGTACCATTAAACACCCCTTTCTGCTGCCTCTCTCCTCTCCTGCACATGTGCTTAGGTGCCCCATTCCTCAGATTTGACCTTTCCTTCAACTCCCTGTGCTTGAGCTTCTGAGCCAATGCTCTTGGTTTCTTCTCACTGCCGTATATCTTCAAGGAAAGGACCGAAAGGACCCTGTTTACTATCCGGTAGTGTTTGTTGTTCAAATGAAAGCTTGAGGGACTGGGCAGAGGCAGACACTGATGCTCAGAGAGGAGGAAGGAGACGAGGGGAACTAGAGGGGAGGAGAAGGAACAAAACACACACCCGAGGAAGGTGGAAGGGAGAGAGGGAGCAAGAAAAAGCAGAAGGTAGAAAGGAGACACACATGCCCTGACACAGAGTCCTGGAGTGACATCCAGCCCCCTTAGCACGTTGCCATCCCCTCTCCCCCCAGACACACAGTACGCTCACAGGAATAGACCCCCACGCAGACACACCCGCCTTCATAGACATAGGTCCCTTCCCCACAGACATGTCTCAGGGTCTTCCACAGGGAGAGACACCCCCAACCCTGCCCCCACCACAATACACATCATAGGCTAGATGTGTGCTCTAAAAGGTAGCCTCAGGTCGAATGCAGTAGCTTATGCCTGTAATCTCAGCACTTTGGGAGGCCAAGGCAGGAGGATCACTTGAGCCTAGGAGTTTGAGACCAGCCTGGGGAAATCATGAGATTCCCATCTACACAGAAAATTAAAAAAAAAAAAAAAAATAGCTAGCCATAGTGGCACACAACTGTTGTCCCAGCTACACAGGTGGTTGAGGTGGAAGGATCGCTTGATCCCAGGAGGTAGAGGCTACATGAGCTGCAATCGAGCCACTGCCCTCCGGTCTGGGTGACAGAGTGAGACCCTGTCTCACGGTTCCCCCTGGAAGAGATTCACCAGTGGGTTTTCATGCTGTGCTTCAGGGAGGAATACCCAGGGATTGGTAGAGCTGGGAGGATCAATATAGTTTGTCTGCCAAGTAGTAGTACAATTTTATTTTTTAATATTTATTTTATTTTATTTTATTTTTTGAGACAAGGTCTTGCTTTGTCGCCCAGGCTGGAATGCAGTGGCGCAATCTCGGCTCACTGCAACCTCAGCTCCCCGGGTTCAAGCGATTCTCCTTCCTCAGCCTCCCTAGTAGCTAGAATCACAGGTGCGTACCACCACGCCTGGCTAATTTTTGTATTTTTAGTAGACACAGGGTTTCACCATGTTGGCCAGGCTGGTCTCTAACTCCTGACTTCAGGTGATCCACCTGCCTCAGCCTCCCAAAGTACTGGGATTACAGGCATGAGCTACTGTGTGTGACCCAACTTTAGCTTTCTATTATTTGAAAAGTTTTGGTTGCTAAATTGTTAGCTAGTTTAAAACAGGCAGTTTACATTCCTGGAACTGTGGAGGGGAAAATGCTCTGTCAGTAACATCAGTGACGAAGATAGCTGCCATTGTTGAACACTGGG